CTAGGCAGCTACGCCTCCCACAGTGCACCCGCTAACATCCCTTTATTTGAAGAGGGGGTACCTATCTGAGTACCACCCGGGTTACATCTTTTTTATGAATTCTGCTGCACTAATTCCCCCTCGCTGACTATTGTGCTTAAACCAATACTTTAGTGACATGAGAAGCTACAAGTTACTGAGCATACATGACATGTTTGTATAAGATTCAGCAGACTAATGATTAGAAGGCAGTGAATTGTGATTATAAGATATTAAAATCTTTCCTTTCCAGAAACAAAAGCCACTTCAAAGACAGTGTTTTGGAAGAACAGGTTTATGAGAGGTGTACACTGAGCCAAGAGAGTATTTTATTATGTAGACTGAAACGTGGCAGACACACTGCAAGTGTCTGCAATTTCCCTGAAAGATTTCATATATGTTTTTCTTCTAACAAACAGAATATGTTGGGGTTTCCCCCGCCTCTCCCACCAGGGCTTAATGGGTGCCTGTACATGGGCAGGATGCCTGCTCTGACACGTTCTAATTAGAATGTGTGCTGAAGCATGCTAATTAGAATGCTCTAGCAGCCTCACTGTCATGTGTATTCAGCATCCCCATGTTTCAAAATGTTGGCGGAGGCACTTTAACTAAAGCTTGTCAAATGGGATGCTGAATACACGAGACACTGCAGGCATTTTAATTAGAGTGGCTCCTAAGAGCTCTAATTAAAAAGTCCCCTGCCCCTCCCACCCCCACCCCGAGCACGTGTATAGATGCCCAGCAATTTTAGGAGATATAAAACGTTGTTGTACAGCTTTTAACAACAGATGTGAAGTACCACCTAGAAACAAGACAGGGGAAATTGCTATTTTGCTGTAGATTTTGGGGCTGAAATTCTAGTCTTGTGTTTGAAAACTTGTCTAACTTTAGCACAACTACACAGTTGGTCAAACAAAAGATATTACCCTAAGAAATCCCAGCTGTATTAAAGCAATAGAACAGAGGTTAGAATCTGCCAGCACATGTGCCAGACCAAGGGGTTCACCGATAAAGAATTTTGGCTGATAGAGATGGCCAATTATTAACCAGCCACATCGGCCAATACTGATCTGATTGCCAATATGCAGCCCAGCAGCTTGGAGAGCAGCATCCAACCAGTAAGTCTGTGGAGGGAAGGGGCACAGGGGAGGGAAAGGGCATGGGGGAAAAGATGAAGGCCCCATGGTGAGCGAGGGAGTGGGGCTGGGGCAGGGGCCGACACCTGGCCCCAAGCCCAAAGTGGGCAGCCCACCCTTGCCCTGCGCACAACTCCAGGGGTTGTGCCTCCCCCAGGGACGTGAGCAGTGGCAGGGAGCCACCCTCCTTCCCATCCCCCTGCGCCCCCTGTGGCTCTATCCTGTGCCCCACCCTTGCCCCTGCTGGACAGTGCCTTCCCCTACACCAGCCCCACTCCCTCCCTCACCATGGGGACCTTGATCTGCCCTGCCCCATCCCTTCCCTCCTCTCCCCGTCCCTCCCCCAAGCCCATTTCCCCCCCCGCCACAGACTTACTGGCGGGATGCTGCTCTCCAAGCTGTTGGGCTGCCTGGCCATGTGCATGCTGCAGCTGCACACATGCACACAGCATTTATCGGTGATGTTATTGGCCACATTGGCCAAAAAAAGCTCATTGCCGATAATGTCAATTTTCTTTTTATCAATGCCGATACGATATGGACCAATATATCGGTGCACCTCTAGCCAGAGCATGATACAAGAGGCCGTTTTGTTTGGCATGCTACAGCTGGCCTGGGGTTTAAGCAGCTGCTGCCAGCCATGGAGCCTGGGCTGCTTACACCAGGCTCTCTGGCAGGCAGCAGCTGCCCAGAACCCAGGCTGGATGTGGCAGGCAGCCAGGAGGCTACAACTGGTGCACTGGGGTCTAGAGCCCAGGCCCTGGTCTGTTGTTGGTGGCAGCTGGACATGCACCTCGAGGCACACGGCAGGGGGCCTGGGGCAGTGCAACCCTAGCCTTTTCCCTGCCAGTCACCCTGAGGCACACATGCAGCTGCTACCACCATGGAGCTGGGCTGGGGCTCCAAACCCCAGTGCAGCTGTTTGCAGCCTGCCTGCTGACTGCTGCCTGCTGCAAGCAGGCCAGGCTCCGTGGTAGTGGTGGCTGTACGTGCACCTTGGGGTGCACAGCAGGGAAGGGGCCGGCTCTGTGCTGCCACAACAAGGATCATGGCCCTCATTGCTTCCCTCCTGTCCACCCCTGGTATATCAACATCTTCCAAGTCCGGGGGCCCAAAAATGTTGCTGACCCCTGCAATAAATACTTTCCTAATTATGTTATTGGGATGGGACTTCAGTTTCAACATTTTTCTTGTGGCAGTACAGATTAGTTGTCAGCTCTCTTGGTCTGGGCTGGCAGGTTAAAATCCAAAGCAACACTGTGTTTTCTCTGAATATTGATACTGCAATGCCACACTTGTGCTATTACATTGTTAAAATGATGTCTGATTACATTTAAAACCTTGTTACCAGATGTTATTTTAGACAGATCCTGTGGCAATGTCCTGGCCAACAGTCATTGTTACTGCATGGCTATTTATTTCTCCCTCAGATCATTTCCAAGCAGTTAGGTGTTGAGAAGATGCACAGAAAATGGCTTATGGATAGCCATCTCAGCAGGCTAAACAAGCAGCTAAATAGTGAAGGAGCAAATACAATGAACTGCCTTCTAATACAAAATGTATTCCCTTCAAGTCAGGGTCAGAATATATTGGTGTTGAATGAGAGAAAGCTGGGATATAGGAAAGTCTTATATTGTTATAGCTGGTGTTACATTTATGCCTTTGATAAAAAACAAAAGTCAATCCCCAGATACTTTATACTTGCATTAAAAACATTTTTTTAAATGAAACATTTAACAGGAGTACAACATCATACTGTGTGGCTGACATTACCTTTCCCCCCCATATTTCTAAAAATAATATGTTATAACTAGTATAAAAGTATCCCATTAGATCTTATGACACTGTTTGGAAAGGGGATAAGTAAATAACGAAAATAGCTAGTCAGTGCTCCCTTTGGACTGACGTGTTGGCATTCTGCAGCAGCCATGGCAAAAATATATTCTGTAAGAAATCATTGCCATGCAGTGCTGGAACAAGACCTAGTACCCTTCCTCAGGTCTCTCACAGACCCGACAGAGAGCTTAGGAAGGGTATAGTGGGACTCAAAAGCTCATCTCTATCCCTCCCATGTACACAGTTGGTCCAATAAAAGATGCCTCTGGCATTTTTCTTAGACTATCAAATTTATAATACTGCAATACCATTTATTACCTTACCTCCCAAAAGTGTTGTGAAATGGTGGTTATAAGATATACAAGTCCATAATGCACTAATGCTTACAAGCACCATATAAAAGTATTTATGAATGAATAAAATAGATTTTAAAAATCTAAAAATTTGCTGGTCTGGCACAATTACTAATACCACCTGCCTTGCATTTTCATTGGTAAAGTAGCCATTTTATTAGCCCTTTGCTGAGTAAGCAGCAACTGAAAGAAATTAAAAGGCATTAAACAGAGCTCATTGGGATTTCAGCTTTCCATTTGCCAAAAAGAAGCTGATTAGTCCTACATCATAATTTCTCAGCAATGCTGCTGTTTATCTGTGGTATGTCGGCTTGCCTATCTACCTAAGTGACTGCCCAGACTTAAGCAGCTGAAAAAGAAGCTTATAAAGATTTAAGAGCCTGGTAAAACCCAGCTTCAGAAGCATATAACACATTTACATAAATGTGGCATTCTGCTAGCATACACTATTTTGAAAACATTTTGTTAGCCAACATCCCTCAGGATTTCTACGTACAAAATTAAATCCAGAAAATGAAGCCGCATTTAGAACACTTTCTATTTTCTCCTATGACACATTCTTCACCTCCTCAGTTTCTGTGGAGTCCTGTCATCAAGTCTACCCCTCCTCATCCTCCAGGTCCCTCCAAAACCTCTATTCAGTCTCCGCTCATTTACCACCAACTCGAGTAGGATCTAAGGCTGTGCTGATTTCAGATCTTTAGAAGGAATAATGTTGCCTAGCAGGACTCCTATTTGTTTAAATCCTCTCCACTTACTAAGAGGGCTGCTGCTTTCCTTGTGCCTCCAGACTCTTCCACAGCATACACCTACGTCCACAAACATCAAACAGTATTATGTTTTTCTATCTAGTTCTTTAAGAAAAAGACTACACTATTGCCCCAGGTCCCATGCCTAGAATTTTAGTCTTCAGTGAAGCCACCACTGGCAAGGCAACACTCCCATAAAATGAACTGCGCACATATTCCCAAGAATAGTCTCTACTTCAAAACTCTTCACACTGGGAAAACAAAACAAAACAAAAATGGAAAAGATTTCCCTTCAAATTACAACAACATAACTCTTTACTGCATAATAAAAATCACTTTCTTCCCTGACCAGATCAGCAAGGTCTGTGTCATACACTAAATCTTTCTGTTGCTCAAGCTGAAAGTGATGGGAGAGATGAGACTTGAATCTAAGTCCAATGCATAGTAACTCAAAGATACCCATTGTTCCAATGGGCTGAGAACCGGGACAAGATCTTTACCATTATGTCCCATGCACAACACAGCTAGCTCTAGCTGGACAAATGTAGGGGAAAGTCTTGCCCCAGGACGGCTGCAAACCCAAGTTGTATAGTACAACTGCCCTCTTAACTTACCCCCGCCTAGTCAGCAGGGTTTGTTGTTTAGGAATAATGAAAGGTCCCTTTGATGTAATCCTGACTGATCGAAACTTTTTAATGAGGAAATTAACTAGACAAGCAGCTGAATAACAGAACAATGCAATGTATTTAGGAAACTGGTGTCAGCTTTCCCAAGAGAAACAACTAGTGTAGTTTGCCAACACCCATTGTGCAGGGTATAAAATTGTGCCACTGAGGAAGGAGAGCTTCAGATTGGCAGTTTGGGTTTTCCAACTAATCTGAAACCTGCTAGCTTTAACTACTAACATTATGACTTCCAAGTATTGTACCCACACTATCTCTTCTAGGTCTGGGAAGGGATCGTGTGTCACAGGTGGTGCTTTCCCTTGGCTTTCTTCAGTCTGCTCCAGTAGTCCTTCCAGGTTTCCAGGTCTCTCATATGGTGGAAGAAATATTTCAGCTTCTTCTGTTAAACTGGGATCTTCTGGATTAGGAAACTGGTTGCCTAGTTCCTTTCTACCCTCTGGTTACTATGGCCCAGGGTTTGCTGGATGGTGTGATGAAGGGATTTTCAATAGTAATGAAAAGGAAACTATGCAGTTCCTCAATGACCGCCTGGCTTGCTATTTGGAGAAAGTGCGTCACCTGGAGCAGGAGAATGCTGACTTGGAATGCAAGATTCGTGAGTGGTATGAATGTCAAGTCCCCTATGTGTGCACTGATTTCCAGGCTTTCTATAAGACCTTGGAGGAGCTTCAGCAACAGGTAAAGGCCCATTAAAGCTTTCCTAACCATTTGACAGGTTGTCCATGAAAACAGGTGGTGTTTACTGGGCACTATCAGGTCTAAAAACATTTCCATTTAACCATTTCTGCTTTGGGAGAAGAATGGGAAAATGTATAAATGCTGAAAGAATATTTCTTATCTGTCCCTAATTATAAGAGTCATCTTCCATTTATTTTGATTTCCTTCCATGCAAACCTCTGTGATGTTTCACTGCTTATAGCTAGCTGTAAATAAGCAATACTTGAGGATTTTCTGAATGAGAATGACAGGTTTCAGAGCATGAACTATTTCTGTTAAAGAAATAAAGCCTATGTAAATCAAAATATCTAAACACATTCATTTTGGATGTATTGCTCACAGTGCAAGAAATATTTGGTATAGGAATCAGTATTCTTACATAGTGCATCTTGTTACTATTCTGAGTTGCTGAGATTCTTTGTTCCATCCAAAGTCTTTTGTCTTATTTTCCAGATTTTGTGTGCCAAGACAAACAATGCCAAGATGGTCTTGCAGATTGACAATGCCAGGCTGGCTGCAGATGACTTCAGAACCAAGTAAATACAGATTGAATCAGTCTATGATCCATATTTATTGTCACTAAGTCTTCCTTCTTTAACTTAGAAAGCCATCCAATCACTTCATTTTCTGAAGGATCATTTTCATTCTAACGATTTATCACTTGTTCTTAGTGCAAAGCAGAAGTAAGGGCTTCTAGAAAAAATCTGTTTGTTTTTGATCTGCAGAGAGAAAGTAATGGCACGCTTTAAAAATAAATGCTCTCAGCACCACACCTACCTGCCCATAATGAAATATCTCAGGTCCCTCAAAATGTTATAAACTAGGGAAAAAAGATTATAATAAAAGTAAACAAATAAAATAAAAATCAACAAATAAGTGAATGTTTTGGTGGAGTTTTTTTTTAATTGTTTTGCCATGGCCTGGGTTTTATTCACTTATGCTGTGCTTTAAGGTTTGAAAGTGAACAAGTTATTCGCCAGAGTGTTGATGCTGACATTAATGGCCTGCGTAGAATTATGGATGAATTTACTCTATGCCGAGCTGACTTGGAGATGCAACTGGAATCCCTGAAGGAGGAGCTGCTCTGTCTCAAAAAAAATCATGAGGAGGTAAGAATAGAAATAAATAAATAGATAGTGTCAAGGCTGAACTAGTTACAACCTTATCAATACTATGTAATTGGGCATGAGGACAGAAGGATACGTATTTGTTAGGAAAAAGAACCTTGTTATAATGCAGGAGCTAGAAAATGACCAAGTGGTTGATACAGGTCTCTCCAGTCATGCATGGCAGCATTGTGTATTAAAACAATGGTAATCGAACTGTAAACAGTTGTTTAAATTCCCCTTTAAACATTGCATTAATGTTTACTCGTGATGTTATTTTTGGTATTGCAAATATTCACTGTAACCTTCATAAAGAAATTCCACCAGCTCTTTTTAGTCCATAAAACCATTGTAGACACCAGGAATCTATTGGGAAATAAATAACACCTTGCAGCAAGCAATAATGCTGGACAAGATTTTTAAAAGGGTACAGTGATTTTTACACCTTGATTTTTCAGTGTCCAATTTTGGCCATCTTCCAGTGTCCTGATTATGAGAAAGTGCGCACACAGCTCTGAAAATATACCCCTTTTAAAAAAGGTGCTTCACACGCGGAAACAAAATATAAGGCACAAAAGTCACTAGTCACTTTTGGAAACAGCCCCAGTGTGATCTGGGGTGGGGTAGAGGTGGCCAATTTACAAAGCAATCTCTCATTTTGCACTTCTGCCTCTGCAGGAAGCCAGCGTACTGCGATGTCAGCTTGGTGCCAGAGTCAATGTGGAAGTTGATGCTGCTCCGTCATGTGACTTGAATAAGGTGCTAAATGAGATAAGATGTCAGTATGAGAACTTGGTGGAAAACAATCGCAAAGATGTTGAGGCCTGGTTCTCAACCAAGGTGGGTAGTTCATATAGCTCAAGTTATCATGAAGGTCCAAGTTTTCTGCTCTTCCTTTAAAACAGTCATGTTTTCTTCTCAATGGTCCATTTTACTTTATTTTTTATTTCAGATGGAAGAACTGAACCAGCAAGTGATCTCCAGTGGAGAACAGCTGCAGTGCTGCCAGACAGAGATTACTGATCTGAGACGTACTATACAGGCCCTGGAGATTGACCTGGAAGCCCAGACAAGCATGGTGCACAACACATTTTTATCATTCTTTTACCTGGATGATTAGGCAAAATTGTTAGGTATTTTTGGTGCTAATTCTAGACAATTTACTAGATAAAGAATATACGGTACACAGCATACGCAAGGTATCCGAGTATATCTAGTACTGAAGGAAAAACAATCTTCAGTAATGCACTTGCCAAAGGGTCCAGAAATGGCACGTGGAATGAATTAACACAGCTGAGTATTAGTTGATCAGCCTTAAAATCAGATTGGAATTAAATGTGTTATAATCCTTAAAAGTCTCAGTCTATGTTATGCCTTAGTGATCAATTGTCAATGTATACGAAACTTATTCCGATCCTTAACCGAGTTGCAAGAGTCACCCTACATGCTAGATACAGAATCAGCACGGAACAGATGTTGATCTGGAATCAGGACTAGCTGGGCCCGTTTATAATTGTGCAAACCTGAAATGAACATTTTTGAGAGCTGGGGGCACTGGCTTATTTCACCACTGTTTACATTCATTTTCTTTTCCATTGTAGAAATCCACTCTTGAATGCACCTTGCACGAAACTGAAAACCGCTATGCCTCCCAGCTTGCCCATCTCCAGTGCCTGATCACCAATGTGGAAGCTCAGCTAGCTGAACTTCGATGTGACATTGAACGGCAAAACCAAGAGTATATGGTTCTTCTTGATGTCAAGACCCGCTTGGAGACTGAGATTGCCACCTACCGCCGGCTACTGGAAGGGGAGGACTGCAAGTATGTGTAATAAAAAGTTATTGGCAGGGCTCTTTTTAAAGACACAAAATTCTTGGTAATAAGAACCTATTGAAATTCACTGAAATACAAGACTGAAAAAACAAGATCAGATTTAGATTTTAGGCCTTCACTATTTACGTGATGCCAATTGTTGATAGCTTGCTCTGACTTCAGGATTACTGAGCTTTTTTTCTGCTGCTTGGTTAGTTCTTTTTTTGTCTGATTTAAAAGTGTTCTCTTTTGGATTTTACCACATGAAGCATAGATAGCATAGGATCTCTGTGTTATCCCCATACACACACAACCATATACCTACAAGTTAAATTTTCTTCCAAATGAGTATGAGATACATTTATTTTTGATTTGGTAAGTACCAGAGAAGGAGAGAATAAATGGCAGTCCAAACCCAAAGTAGTCAAGTGACTTTTATTTCAGTAAATTTACAGTATAATCTCTTGTTGTAGTGTCTGATTTTTTAATTACTTTTCTCTTACACTAAATGTGTAGATAATTACCCTTTTTTTTCTCTTCCCAGTTTCCCATGTGTCCCAGATTGTGCACCACCTTCCCAAATCACTACAAAAATCCGCACCATCACTGAGGAGATTAAGGATGGGAGAGTCATTTCTTCCCGAAAACAAGTCCAGCATTGCCCCCCTTTAGTACTCTAAGGCAAAGGACAAGCCACAGCTGCAAAAGTGACAGGGAAAATGTCTCCTACTCAAATGCTGAAAAATAGTAAAGGATCTTTATTAGTAAAATTCTGTTTTCTTGCATGTGTTCAACTCAAAACTTTGGTACATGTATCCATTTTCAAAATGTCTTTTACATTAGGTTTCCAGTTTTCTGTAAACTTTTAGCATCTTTAGCAGCAATGCTCCTTTAATCAGTTTCCTAATAAAACTTACTTCTTTGGCATATAAAACTTTGTTTTCATTTAAGTGCTTATTTGTGTTTTTAAATAGTTGTTTGGAGCCAGATAGCTTGCTCATTTCCACTTGGTAAGGGAAATCCAGAGCAGCATATGTGAAGATTACACACTCCTCAAAAGTTGCGACAGACAGCAATTCACAAATGTTCTCAGTTTGCTAAGGGAATAGTCCCCTCTCGTTCCTTCATTTCCTATTTGGTAATAGGCTTGTGCGAGTAGGCAGGTATTCGATCTGGCTTCAGATCTGGCTGCTTCGGATGTCAGTGATCCAGTCTGGAGCTCTGGATCAGTTTGCCACTTCAGTCTCACCAAAGCGGCTTCAGAGCTTTGGAGCTGCCTCGGAGATTCAGCCATAGGGTATAATGGGGGATAAATGAAATATCTATGACGTTGTTTTGTGTCTGATTTGGGTGAAACTTGCAGGGGTGGTAGCCTCTGCTGAGAGTATGAAGTCTGCCAAGTTTCAAGAAGATCAGTACAGGGATTTGGGGGGAAATGCACCCCAAATTCTTGAAAGCAAAACTCATGTCACGTGTATGTGTTACACCACAGGGAGGTGAAAACTGCAGGGGTGGTGGCCCCTGCTGAGGCCACAAAGCATGCCAAGTTTCAAGAAGTGCAGGGGTTTGGGGGGAACTGCCCCTCAAGCTGCTGACAGGCAAAACTCATGACATAGATGACCCTGTGTGTGTTAAGGCGCAGCGGGCTGAAAACTGCAGGGGTGCTGGGCCCTGCCAGGCCATGAAGCATGCTAGCTGTGTGTGTGTCTCACTGGGGGAGTCTGTCTTCTGGGGCCCTGCACCTCTGGCTGCTAACAGGCAAAACTCGTGATGTGGGTGGGTGACACTGTGTGTGTGTTAAGGTGTGCCCTTCCTGGTGCTGGGGCCTCTGCACAACACAGCAGTGTGTCCCAGTGAGGCCTCCTCATCTCCTACAGCCTCACACCCAGTCCAACACTTTACACGACAACAGGTAAAATAACCTAGCTGGCTCAACACCAGTAGCATCAGCAGCAAGAAGTAAAGATGTGTTGTGTTGGACATATGATGTTACTCATGGTGCGTGATGGCTTATTTTGTGTTTTTATGGCTATATGTGTATTATGAAAAAAAAAGGAGTACTTAAAAAATGTATCTTTGGAAGCTTTAGGGTTGAAAACCCCTTTGTCAGGCTGAGGAAGTACCTGCAGTTGGTCCTGGATGAAGGAATAGTAAAGAAGCCAGAGGCTGGCCTGGCCCGCAATGCAGGCAAGAAAGCCAGTCAGTGAAAATGGAAATGGAGGCATCAGGGGGTGAGGGACAGGCTGGGGTGGGGGGTAGAGGGGAAAAGGGGATGTAGCAGCACAGGTAAACGTGCAGAGGTGCCTGGGGTGTCGGATGTCCGGCAGGTCGCAGTGTGCCAGAACTCCACTGTGTATATTGAGTCCATAAGTTTCTGTACCTACTACCTAGGAGGCTGATGACGTGCAGTTCATAGGCCCAGCTCTGAAAAGTAGTTTGTACATTCAAACAAGTACCTAACCTCATCACCAGAACTGAAGCCAACTTCTTACAGCTCAAAACACAAAACCTGCCACCTATCTCTAGTATCCCCTGCCACAAACTGCACACCAGAATCTCAAAAACAACAAAACCCAACTACCTGTGGGGGCACATTCCTCACCAAAAAAACACTCTGCCTCCAGTCTCTCAGGCCTGATCCTGAGATGGAACAAATTACAAAGCAAACCACTTTTCACAGCCGGGCCTATGAACTGCACTTCATCAGCCTCCTAGGTAGTAGGTACAGAAACTCATGGACTCAATATACACAGTGGAGTTCTGGCACGCTGTGACCTGCCAGACATCCGACACCCCAGGCACCTCTGCACTTTTACCTGCATTGCTACATCCCCTTTGCCTCCTTCTCCCCCACCCCAGCCTGTCCCTCCCCCACTGATGCCTCCATTTCCATTTTCACTGACTGGCTTTCTTGCCTGCATTGTGGGCCAGGCCACCCTCTGGCTTCTTTACTGTTCTTTCATCCAGGACCAACTGCAGGTACTTCCTCAGCCTGACAACGGGGTTTTCAAACCTAAAGCTGGCATCCTGGGCAGCTAAGCTGGGCTCACTGGGAGCCTCACAACTGCATCGCAGCCAGCAAGCATTAGGCCTGTCAAAGACATGACAGGTCTGGGCATTCCCCAGCCAGAATTTTGTGCATGTATGCATTAGCTGGAGGTTATGGTGCCTCCTCCCTGCCTTTCACCAGGGGATCATTGGTCCTGGCATTTACGGGGCTGCCACACCCCCAGCAGTCCCACCAGGCCTCCCTCCCCTGGCAGGGTGCAGTTTTAGTGGTTATGCCCAGGACCTGGGGCCTCCTCCTTCCCCATAGCCCCAGTCCCGTACCTCCAAGTTCATCCTGGCAGAGGAATGAGCTCAGCAGGGACATGTTCTTCACCTGCTGGCTGGTGATGCAGTTAGTGCCCCCTCCAGCTGAGAGCGGGACATTATTCGGCTTTTAAAAAACTCAAAAAAGGAAATTGGTGCAGACAGAGTAAGGAGGGTGGCACTCAGTCCGTCTGCAGGTGGCGCTTGGGGAACCCAGCAGCGGGAGGTTCGCTTTTAGGAACACCAGCTGCTCCACCAACATAGGATCCAAGCAGGTGCGGTGGGATGTCCCAACATCCCCAGCAATGCTGAACACCCTCTCGCTTGAAACACTGGTTGGTGGACAGGACAGGTGTTGCCGGGCAACTGTGGCCAGATCCTGCCCCATCTGTCCGCAGTTTGCCCAGTAGGCCCACGGGTCGCAGTCCAGTGGCTCCACATCCTCAGTGAGATAGATGGCCACCAAAGCCTCGGCACTACCTGCCCGAGGCTGAGGTCTGATACATTTGGACCCCAGCATTGAAGTCATGCCCATGGCCCACATTGGCAGTAGCTGGCATGGAGGAGACTGACTGGTGCTAGTGCTGGTGCTGGTGCTGGCACCAGTGCTGGGAGTGCTGGCACAGGAAAGGGGATCCCCCTCTTCCACAGCCCCTCGCCTCTGCATTTCTCCCTCCCTGACTTAGTTCACCAGCACCTGCGTCCAGTGATTGAGGGTTTTGGGGCTGCCAGTGCACATGCTCCCCTTCACCCTCGGGTCGCACATGCCCACCATCATGTGGACCATACTGGACTGCAAGGGATCCAGCCATCTCCTGATGCCCTCCTTCAGCCACCTCACCAGAGCCTGCACGTCTGGTGACAGCGGCCTGCCCCAG